TTCATGATTGTGGAGCGTTCTGGAGAATTTTAAAGTGCGGACGGTGGTGAAGGTCTTTGTACCATTATACCCTCCCGGGTTAAAGGGAAAAGCACAGTTTGACCTGGTATTACGGGTCAAACTTGGAGGTGAACGCAATAGTTTGTTGGAGGTGATGAGCACTAAGGGGTGACACAGGAGCAGCACCATACATGTGTATGCAGTAGTCTGATCATACAAACCCACTTGGAGTACAGCGTATTTAAAGGGACGGTTCCCCATTATTTTGAGACTGTATTTATGAGACACTTGTTGATGGTATATTTGGAACACAATGCACAGGAGATATATCGCACAAGCACACATGAAGATATATTGGAGTTTTAAAGGGACAGTTCACTCTTTAGAACGGTTCATTTGGTATTTGAATACGCCATTCATTTTAGCACTGGTATATGCAGTTTTATGGGTATTTATATGTTTGTGTTGATATACATTTGATGTAGCACATATTGTCACGAAGCACAATTTTTGTTTTCACATTATTAGCACCATATTTGAGTTTATAGTACTGCACTGTATTTTTTATTGATCTATGTGTACATGGACACATAGGCTTTTATGGAGTTGCGTTTAGGAGCTTTGGCAAGAAAATGCCAAAAGCTCCTAAACTTGAGTTTAGGAGCTTGCTCGTGTACATGAAGCCTAACAGGGACACAGGCAACAATACAAACCTAACAGGTGTGTTCTAATCCCTCTCCATTCTATCCAACATTAAAAATGCCTTTAGTTATACTTTAAATTTGTACTGTTAATATTTTTTTTAAACATTTGCCATAATATCTGTTTTGCATGTTCATTGTGTGATAATGTTTATAATATTTCATTTACAGATCTGAGGGGCATGTAACTTCAAATCAGAGAAAACAATCAGCATTCTAAAATGGTATGCAGACCCTAACAATGAAGTCTTATTTGGGTCCTGCTGGTCTGTTAATTATATCACCAAAAGTGTTTTTTTTTTATAACTCTGTGATCAATTCAAAAAAATACCTATTGATCCTGTCAGAAATTCTGTGAGCTGATCTTGTCCTGTTCTTTCTGCCTGTGTAGTTATTATTTGCAATGTAGTTGATTTACTAAATACCAAGAGACTGATCACATTGCAAGGGAATTTACCCCAGAGTCTAGTAAATGAGAGTTAGCCACATTCACTGAGCTCTGGGAGAAACTACAACTTTGACTTGTTGGACCTTTTGTTCATTTTTCACATTGTGTCGTCATTCCCCTTGGTGTACAACTCCATTTGAAATAGTATACAGCAGCCAGAGACTTTGGCAGGTCCTCAACTGTTTGTAAATATTTGCATCACTTTTTAAGTTTGGGCATCCCATGTACCCCTATCCAAGGTGTACCCAAAAATAAAACAAAATCCCTAGACTGTTTTCTGGAGCCAGTTGAAGTGTGTGGAAAATTCCTGTTGCCTAGCTGTGAGTGCTGTGTGTGGGTGAAAAAGACCCGAAATCCAGCGGCCCTTTCAGGGATAGTTCTACACAAGCTTAATCTGAACGGAGAAAGACTTCCACAGTTCTGCCAATGTTCTTTTTGTGAATTGGTGCCCAAAACTGAGCTGCATATTCCAGATGAGGTATTACTAATGATTTGTACAGGGGTAAAATTATACCTCTCTCTATGGGGTCTATACCCCTTTTAATACAAGAGAGGATTTTGCTCCCTTTAGAAACCGCAGCTTGGCATTGTATGCCATTATTAAGCTTATGATCTACCACAGCCATCACTAAATGTTGAACCACGGTCCGGACGCGGACCTAGTCAATGTACCTCTCAGACCCGCCGTGGTTGCCAGTTAGGAGCCGAATCTCCCTCCCCAGCTGCTGCTGGCACTGTCTTCTTTGTGGAGCTGACATACGGAAGCAGCACAACAATGGACGGCGGGTGGTAGATGGCCCTATTAACTGATTGATTTCTAGGACTGCACTGCATCAGAGCAACCAATCAGTTAACTGGGGCAGCTCCCGTCCTCTGTCCATCACTGTGCTCCCCTTCCGATGTCAACTCTAGACCTTCTGTACGTTCCACCCTCTGCACTGTAAGGTAGGGCAGGAAACAGCAGGGGGAAGCCGGGGATGATGTGAAGGGTGTTTCGTTTCCTACATTCCCACTTTGTTGCAATATATGCTGATATCTGACTAAGGATTAAGAGATACTTTATTTTCACTGAATATCTTAGGTCAGACTATTGTTGCCTAATAGTTTACCTTGGACTCTAGCATGCACCCGAGGGATTGTTTAGTTTCATGCCTAATTACTTAGTTTGTTTCTTCACCCTGTTATTTATTTGATTGTATCATTCCTTAGTGAATAGGCTTACTATTTGGAATCCTGCAACCCACAATTGTGGGTTTTATTCCTTTGTATGCTGTTTCTTTATTAATAAAAAAATTTGAAATATAATAAAGAAAGAGAGTATTTTAATTCCTTCTTCTCCAAGGGTTCCAATTATTTATTATTTACCAAAAATACATAAAAATCTATCAAAAGCTCCGGTCAGACCGATAATAAGCAGTATTAATTCACTACAATCGAGGGTTGGGGAATATATAGATTTTTTCCTACAACCTATAGTCTTGGGGATTCCTTCACATATTAGGGATACTAAACATCTTATAAATGACCTGGATAGGTTGAAAGTGCAGCCAGGAACATTTCTGGATATGGCAGATGTTACTTCATTATACACCAATATTTCACATCAAGATGGCATGGAGGCAGTTAAATCGTTTTTCAACTGTACAGAAGGGATTCCTGAGAAACAAAAATTATTTATTTTGGATCTCATCAATTTTGCTATGTCTCACAATTACTTTTGGTTTGACAATAAGTATTTTTTACAAACCAAAGGGGTGGCGATGGGCGCACAATTTGCACCCAGCATGGCAAATTTATGGGAGGAGGAAGCGATCTACAACAAACAGTGGCCTAGTCTGTACTTCAAAAGATATATTGATATAATCTTTGTTTTGAATGGAAATGAGGAATCATTATAGAACTTCATTACAGCCTTAAATGATAATGAAAAGAATATTCATCTAACCCATACATATTGTGAACAAGAAGTTAACTATTTGGATCTAACACTCACCATCATAGAGAATATTATTACAACTAAGTATTTTTTTAAGGGTACTGATAGAAATAGTTACATCCAGCTCACAAGTTGTCATAACCCCTCTTGTTTGGAGAACTTTCCAAAAAGGCCAATTTATTGGAATGAGAAGGAACTGTAGTAATATAACAGATTTTTTTTAATCAAAGTCAGATCTTGAAGGATAGATTTTTACAAAAAGGATATCAGGAAGCTGAATTAGATGCAGTTATAGGTCAGGTGAGCTCTATAGATCGGACTTCCCTGTTGATTGATAAGAAGAGGGAGAGCACCTCTAATGTTACGTGCCCCTTCATTACCAATTTTTCCAGCCAACATTGGCAGATTAAATGTATTATTCAAAAACATTGGGATATACTAAAGGGTGACTCTGTTCTGGAGAAAATCCTTCCAGATACCCCACAGGTGATGTTTCGTAGGGTCCCAAATCTGAGGGATAGGATAGCCCCAAATATAGTCAATCATTAAAACCAGAATTTTTTAAAGGTCTAAAAGGATTTTATCTATGTAATAAGTATGTGATTTGCACTGTGGAAGGGTGTAGGCAAAAAAAACAGGTCAATGTTGTCTCCCACAGTACTGGTAGGGAATATAATATAGGTTCATTTGTATCTTGTAATACCACACATGTTGTTTACTTACTCCAATGTACTTGTGGTATCCAATATGTGGGTAGTTCCACAAGAAGATTAAGGGATCGCCTTAGAGAACACATATAAAACATCAAACGTGGGTTTAAATACCACAGTCTCTCAGCGCACTTTAGATGATTCCACATTAGGGACCCAAAGGAGATAAGGTTCATTGGAATTGATAAATTGTAACCCCATTGGAGAGGATGTAACAAAATGAGAGAGGTCTCAAAACTTGACACGCGGTGGATATACAAACTGAAGTCATATGCCCCTTTTGATATGAATTCAGATTGGGATATTAACTGCTTCATTGGTACCAAATGAATATATGTACATTGCCTTTATTTATTTTACTTAATTTTGCCAATTTTATTTTGCATACTTGAGATTTTTTAATCATGGATATTTTTTGTTATGTAATTCAATTGATTGCTCCCACGCTCCTACATTGTATACTCGTTAGGAACATAAATAGCTTTATTCACTTATGGTGAGACCGACTATATATGTATTTTTTCATTAGATTGTCATCGGTCTCGATTCTCATCAATTGACCTATCATGGGATGATTTCATTCCGGATTTATTAAGTGATGATGTCGTTCCTGTTTCTTGCCCTACAGTAAGATGGAGGCTTGTTATATCCGGTTCCTGACCACCATCAGGTAATGACCCATTTCAAGATGCCGGTTTTGAGACTTTTGGTTTTTCTAAGATGGATACCAGTACACTTCTGGTTCCAAGTGTAATTGAATGTAGGAGGGTGGGGACCAGATTTCTTATAAATATGTATGACGCTAGCACTGTACCACCCCGTGAGAATGTCCTATTGGATGAAACGCATCGGGGAGGAGTTACAGTGCCGACGTCATGCCGCTGCGCGAGTCGTGCCCTACCCGCGCTGCCATTCATGACCGCAGCTGTCACTCACCAGGTCCGACCAGTAATTACTTGCCGGCACCCAGTGATTTCCGACCAAATCCCTGACGGGAGGAAGACTGTTTTGTTTACTAACAGTCCTCCTCCCTGTCAGCTCGGGAACACTGCACTGAGCAGTGTGATTACATTGAAAACACACACACACCGCTCCCTAGTAAAACCCTCCCAGCACACAGTTAACCCTTTGATCGCTCCTTCATGTTAACCCCGTCCTGCCCAGTGCCATTAGTACAGTGTCAGTGTTTTTTTTTAGCACTGATCATTCTATTATTGTCACTGGGGATGTCAGTGACACCAAGTCAGTTCCCCCTCAGTGTCAGAATGTCTGCCGCAGTCCCACTATAAGTCACTGATTGCTGCCGTTACTAGTAAAAATTAAAAACAAAAATCCCAGTATATATACCCCTATTTGTAAACACTATAACTTTCAAGTAAACCAATAAAATTGACACGTATTGGGATTTTTTTTAGCAAAGACATGTCGCAGAGTACATTTTGGTGTAAATTTATGATGAAATTAGATTTTTTAAATCTTTTTTACTGGACATGTTTTATAGCAAAAAGTAAAAAATATTGTTTTTTTCTCAAAACTGTTGTTTTTTTATAGCGCAAAAAATAAAAACTGCACAGGCGATCAAATACCATCGAAAGAAAACTTTCCCCCAATTTGTGGGAAAAAAAGGACGTAATTTTTATTTGGGTGCAGCATTGCATGACGCGCAATTGTCAGTTAAAGTAACGCAGCTCCATAACGCAAAAAATGGTCTGGTCAGGAAGGGGGGTAAATCCTCAGAAGAGTAAGTGGTTAAACAATGCATTGAGGTCGGCTTGTAAGTTGGAGACATCCTGTAAGGACATTATTACACTGCACAGCTTGGTGTCATCTGCAAAGACTGAAATTAAATTTTTAATCCCAGACCCTATATCGTTTATAAATATATTAAAAAGTAAGGGCCTCAACACTGAACCTTGGGGTACACCACTGATGACCCTAGACCATTCAGAGTATGAATCATTAACCACTACTCTTTGAATACGATCTTTTAGCCAGTTTTCTATTCATTTACAGATTTTTCCAAGCCTGTAGACTTTGCCTTACATATTAGTCGTGTGTGGGGAACTGTGTTAAGTGCTTTAGCAAAATACAAGTATACCACGTCCACCGACACCCCTCTGTTCAAGGTTTTGCTCTCCTCCTCATAAAAAGAAATTAGATTTGTTTGACTAAAAATCAAACCTACAGTGGAAAATACCAGTCAATATTGGCACAAAAACATTCAGGCTTCTGCTAGAAAGCTGAACATGAAAAGGTATTTCATCTTTCAGCATGACAACGAACCAAAGCATACATCCAAATCAACAAAGGAATGGCTTCACCAAAAGAAGATTCAAGTTTTGCGAGATGCCCTCGCAATCTGAAAGATTTGGAGTGTTTTTGCAAGGAAGAGTGGTCAAATATTGCCAAGTCAAGATGTGCCATGCTGATAGATTCATACCCAAAAAGGCTGAGTGCTGTAATAAAATCAAAAGGTGCTTCAACCATGGGATATCCCTCAGCCAGAATTTCTCCATTACCTTCAATTGCAGCACTGGTTGACCTCACTGCGTGGCACTTCTGCCTTTCCATATCAGAAATCAGCCTTTGAACAGCTTTGCCAACAGCGTCTGGGCACCCCGGGTCTTGTTTCCCTACTCTATGTATCCTTGAATAGGCGCTCAATGTGAACTTTTCTATCATATGTTGTCCAGTGGGAGCGTGACTTGGGGACACTTGTGGATCTGGAGGACTGGAATGGGACCTGGTCTTTTTGTGGCATACAAAGTACTGTTTTGTTGGTATTTGGTCCTGGCTCGTATAGTATAGGCGAACCCTGCCTATAGTGATTGCCACTTTTGGGGGTTGTGGCCATCGTGGAAATGTGGTTCATGTATGGTTGTCATGCCCGAGACTGATTTGTTTTTGTTCTCATGTCTTTGGCCTTCTTACAGCTTGTTCCATCTCTCCATACGCCGGAAGGCTCAGTGTGCTTTGCTTCGTTTTCCCATACCGGGCCTGTTGGCTCATCAGCAGAAGTTGGCTTCCTGTTTGTTTCTGTCAGCCACTAGAACAATTACCCAGGCATGGAAGAGCCCGTCTGTCCCTCTTCAGGGGGTGCGGGACCATATGACCACTCTGATGCTTAATGAACAGATGTTGAGTATCTGTAATGACTCCCAACCAAAATGTTTGAAAATATGGGAGCCGAGGTTGACATATGCTTTTCCTGCGCTCCCCCCGGCTAGTCTGGGTGTATGATGCTGTATGGTATTGGCGTTCCCAGACCTCTGCTTCTGGTCTTGTTTTCTTCTTCCTTCTTTACTCTCTTTTTTGTTTAATTATGTGAGGCGATAGATACTTGCCTTTGGCTGGAAGTTTTGTTGGCGTTATATCACTGATCTCTTTATTTTTTATGTACCATTGATAGCCCCTGCGTGGGCGTGTCTTTTGTTCTATTCCTTCTTGTTAAATTCTTTACAAAAGTTAATAAAAAACCGTTGAAATTCAAAAGGTGCTTCAACAAAGTATTAGTTTAAGGGTGTGCACACCATATTATTATAGTTTTTATGTTTACTTCCCCCCATCAACTTTTCAATTGAGTTGTACAGTTTATAGGTAACATTAAAGGTGGAAAAAGTTCTGAAATTATTTATCTTTGTCTCAATTTTTTATATCACAGTAACCTGACATTTTAACAGGGGTGTGTAGACTTTTTATATCCACTGTTAGTTTTGATTTTTAGTCTTTTAAACTTGTTGCCCCACGGGAATATATTTGCAGTGTGATTTGGATGTTTGCTTTGGGTCGTTGTCATGCTGAAAGATGAAATACCTTTTTCATGTTCAGCTTTCATGTACAGTCTTTTTGAAGAATGCCCATTTCTGTGTTGTGTTCATCGATGCCAATATTACCTCCCAGTCTAACTCTTAGAGAGAAGCTCTCAGCCTTGGAAAACTAGCTCTCTTAAAGTTGAGAATTTGTATTTTTCCCGTATGTGCTTGTTGTTTACAGCTAACAATAAATGAAATCATGATATGGTCACTACTACCCAGATGTTCTTTTATATGGAATTAGTAATAAGCTCTGCATGGTTTGAGATTACCAGGTCCAGCAGAGCATCATCCCTAGTTGGGGCCTCTATGAACTGTACCATAAAAATTTGTCCTGTTTTAGGTTTAATAATTTTTGTCCTTTAACTGTTCCTGCAGTACCATTACTCCAGTCAAGTTCCAGGTAGTTAAAATCCCCCATTATTATCATTGTTCTAGCCCTTGCAGCCCTTTCGATCTGTGCAAGGAGCTGAGTCTCCACCTCCTCATTAACACTGGGAGGCCTATAACAAACTCCAATGATTACCTTTGGTACGCACCCCCATGTGCAGTTCCACCCATAATACTTCAGCCTCATCACACTCTCCATCAAGTAGTTCCTCTTCGCTCGCTCTGAGATTATTTCTCGCTCTGAGATCATAGAGACAGACACCAACACCTTTCCTTTTTACTCTCCGAAAGAGAACATAGCCAGGAATATTATTAGCCCAGTCATGTGAAGAATGAAGCCAAGATTCAGCAATACCAATTAAATCATAGTTCACTTTATGCACCAAAGCTTCCAACTCACCTTTTTTGCTTGGCAGACTTCTGGCATTGGTGAACAAACACTTTAATTAATTGACACCTTTTTCACACGTATTTTGCATACTTTGTATTTTCATACAAATGATACCAATTCCATTGAGTGTTTGTAACATGGGAACCTTCTTATCAGCTGCCATAGTCCTCCCCATATTCCCCCACTTCGCCCACCAATAAGGACTCACCCCTGTGTGATCTGAATTCCCCTAAATAAAACAACAAAACCAAGTTTATGAACTGGTCACTGTCTCTGGATGCAAGTCTGTGTGAAAATACCAGCTGTTTGCCTATGTGGAGGGAAGCTTGGGGATACCCATAACATAGCGGCCCTTGCAAGGGTAGAGTGTATTTTTACCACTGTGCTTGATAAATAGGTAGACCAGAAAGTTATTTCAAGGGTTCCTCCAAAAAAAGGTTGAGAAAGGCTGACACAGTGCTACTAATCTAAAATTCTCATTTAGTCAACATATTCTGTATATACAAATACAAAAATAGACAACATTTAACAAAATACTATGAGACTATGGCGCAAAACCAAATCCCAACAAGCCTTCACACGCTAAAAAATCTGCTTTCCACACCTATACCACCTCCCTCCACGCAGCCAAACAAGCCTACTTCCCGACCCTCATCAAGGTCCTCTCCTCCAATCCTCGCCGACTCTTCTCCACCTTCAACTCTCTACTCTCTCCACCCCCACCTCCACCCAGCACCTCACTCACTGCCTTTGAGATTGCTAATCACTTCAAAAAACAAGATTGACACAATTCGCAAGGACATCGCTGCAACTCACACGCCCTCTCAACCCATCCCCTCTCACACAGCTACCCCCTCATCCCCCCTCCCCTTTGACATAACCCGCAGAGACTTTGTCGCTGCTCAAACTCCCTCCAACCCCGTTCCCCCTCACTCAGCTACCCCCTCATCACCCCTCTCCCACAGCCCCACCACTGATCTTCCACTTCCACCCCACCCTACATTCCTCATACTGAAGCTCCCCCAACACTCCACACCTTTGACCTTACTACCATCGAGGAAGTCTCCAAGATCCTCTCTGATGCCTGCCTCACCACCTGCCCCCTTGACCCTATCCCCTCGCAACTCCTACGACCTCCCTCCCCCTCCATCCTACGCTCCCTCACCCACATCTTTAATCTTTCTCTCTCCTCCGGCACTTTCCCCTCCCCTCTGAAACATGCACACATCACCCCCATACTTAAAAAGCCCTCCCTGGACCCCAATGACCCGAACAAACTCAGACCCATCTCCCTGCTCCCATTTACATCTAAACTCCTCGAGAGCCTAGTCTACACCCGCCTATGCTCTCACCTCAACGACAACAACCTCCTCGATCCCCTACAGTCTGGCTTCCGTCCCCTACACTCCACCGAAACTGCCTTACTCAAACTCTCCAATGACCTGCTAACCACCAAAGCTAATGGCCACTATTCAGTGCTCCTACTCCTTGACATCTCTGCGGCCTTCGACACAGTCGACCACCCCCTCCTCCTCAAAAAACTACACTCCCTCGGCCTCAGAGATTCTGCTCTCTCCTGGCTCTCATCCTACCTGTCACAACGCTCTTTCAGCGTTACCTATAATGCTACCACCTCCCCCTCACTCTCCCTCTCTGTTGGGGTCCCTCAAGGCTCTGTCCTCGGGCCCCTTCTCTTCTCCATCTACACCTCCTCCC